ATCCCGGGAGCTGCAGCCGCGGCTCTGTGGCCCGGCCGGTGGGTGTGGGTGGTCCCTCTGCCCGGGCAGCGCTGTGCTGCCACCCCTGCCACGGCCCCGTGGGGCGAGGAAGCTGCGGGGGGAAGGAGGGCTCAAAGAGAAATTATTTTTTGTACGTGTAGAGGTGTTTAGGAAGTTGGCGCGAGCGGTGGCGGGGAGAGACAGGGACCTGCGGCTCCCTGTGGGCATAATGTCCAGCACGCGTCGTGAAATCGGTGGGCTTGATCATTACTGCAGACTTGTGTTCTGACTAAATACCTTTTCCCTGTTGATTTTAGGGAACCTGGAGTGGTTAGATAAGAACAAAACCAGTTTTCTGATCATGTGGAAGAGACCAGAAGAATGGGGAAAGCTCATCTATCAGTGGGTGAGAAAGTAGAAGCCGTCTTGCCCCACAGACCAGGCTTTTGTGTCTGGGAGGACAGGGGGTATTGGCTGCAATTTGTGAAAAACAAAACCAAAAAACACTGTAATATTTTTCTCTTGTTTCCTGACTGCTTTTGTGTTTCTTCTTCCATTTCTCTCTGTTGTAGAGAAGCGTAGAGATGTTAGAGCTTTTTACTTGCTCTAAGGTGCAGTTTGAGCAGCAAACACAGTTGTTCTCTCCTGCTGCAGTTTGCTGTTCCGTAGTGAGAACAGAGCAGTGTTGCTGCGTTGCCTTTATATGGCACGAGTCCTTATTGCAAAACACACGGGCAGAAAGAGCAGAGGGGCAGGGAAAGGAACTGTGTGAGTTTCCTTTGGCGTCATTTCTTGATTCTGCAGTGCCCCAGAGGGTTTCCAGGGTTTTTTTTGCTCAGCGAGTGCGGGCCACATTCCATTTCGTTTGCAGTGGGACATAAGAGAGATCGTGCTGAGGATGTTAAATCACATGGATGAGATTTGCTGTATTGCTTTTATGTTTCCAGGTGTCGAAGAATGGCTTGACCAACTCTGTATTCACACTGTATGAACTAACCAGTGGAGATGATACAGAGAATGAAGGTAATGTCATGTGTTATGTTCCGGAGGAGGTTTTCAAAGCACGCTTGATTTGAGCGCATAGACAGTTGATTGTCAGATCATAGTTTTGTAGATTAAATATTTTTAAATTGTTTATGCAAGCTCACACCGATCACCTCTGGAAAATGCTGCTCTGGAGGCTTTTTTACCTCTTTGCATGAACATCTCCCTTTGTTATCACTGTTTGCATTTCAAACCTTCCCCCACCCCGCAAGCCTCCCTCGTGCCCAGCTCTTATCTGGTGTGAGGTGCGGGGTGTTTTGGTTTTACACTGAGCTTCTGCTGCCTTTGAGACTGCTGTGACTCATTCCCTTCTGTCAGTTGACCTTCAGGCTTTGTTCCCGATGCAGCAATGTAGTGATGAGTCTGTCAGAGTAGCCGTGACTCTGGATTTGCCGGAGTGTTATGGTGCTGGAGTCTGAAAGGTGCTCTTCAGAGCCCTCTGCTTCACTGCCACCAGTCCCTGGACTTTGTAAGCCTCTTTGTTTCCTGAAGTGATTGTTTTTTTTCTTTCCTGTTGATGGAGATCTCTGTCCTTCCCTAGAGTTCCACGGCTTAGATGAGGCTATGCTTCTGCGTGCCCTGCAAGCCCTGCAGCAAGAGCACAAGGCTGAAATCATCACGCTGGACGATGGCCGAGGTGTTAAGTTCTTCTGATAGGAGCCCCCTCCCCTCTTCTCTGGCTGCTGAAGCGGTTCTCGCTGTGAAGGTTCGCTCTCCTGGCCTGGTTTCAAGCCGTGACTGCAAACAGCTGCATACTCGGGATTTCTTGGGGCAAGGAGAATCTGCGAAGCCTTCCAAAGACATGACTTCTTAGAAATATTCAGAGATCCTCTGTCTGTCTTTTCTCCCTGTTGATTGTGTTTGAGAGGCTAAAGCTGCTCTAGGCAGTTCTGAGAGGGACCACCCAGAAGTGAAATAATGGGACTGCTCCTGTTGCCGATCCCCGTTCCTGTGAAAGCCACGGGGCGATCTCTTCAGCTGGCTGCTCGAGCTGTGCCTCGAAGGACACTTCTTCCCTCCTGCCAGCCGTGTGCTCCGGCTCTGCAGTCCCCGCCACGTTGCCAGGCGGGGTGAAAGCACGCACCAGGAGCTCGCTGTCACTGCTGCGCTGTACAACACCCCGATGGCAGGTTGATGTGTGCGTGCTGCAAAGCAGGCCATGCAGCGGGGTGGGGGTGAATGCCAAGGAACTGATTTGAAGTAATTAAAATAAGATGTATTTATAGAGCAGCCTGGGTGTTTTCATCTATTTTTCCATCAGAAACAAAACAGAGCAGCATACCAGATTCTTGCCCTTCAGCTGCGTTCCCTTACTGCACTGGCTGAACGCCGCAGCCCGCTGGAGAGACGATGGTCCTGCCGCGTCAGCCCACCCGAGCAGGAAGCAGGCAGCACAAGTGCTTTTTTCCACGTGCCACAGCTACGGACCGTCTGGGCCCTTACTGCCTGTCTTCAGGGCAACATTTAATTTCATTTTCCACGTGCAGTCCTCTGAAAGCTAATGGGTTTGGTGGGGTAAGCTCTGTACAACAGTGGCTGGTAGAGGGTATGACTAAGTTTTTAGATTCTCAGTGCTGATAAGCACCCAGCTCGTCAGAAACCACGACCCGGCTACAGCCAAAGACCCAGTAAATCCTTAATAGCATAGGAATTGTCCGCTACAGACATCTGTCCTGGGCTTGTTTTGATGTCCGAGATCTGCCTCTTCCTCCCTCTTCGTGCCGCCCACACTGACTTCTTCCCTCTCTGGTTCCTGCGCCCTCCCCTCTTGCTGCTGTCATCCCCCTGCAGCGACCCGTGGTGCTGTGCTGTGCCTGATGGCATCTGTGTTTGATCCCGAATAACGAGCCTTTAGCGGCCAGGCCCGGGATGTTTGTATTTCTTGCTCTCTGTAGATGTGATGCTGACCTCTCAGCATTGTGTTCCCGGTTGCATGTGCTGTATGTAACCTGGCTGTCCTTGAGTGAGTCTGTGTTCTTAATTAAATTTGCTCCCTTCTTAGGAAATGGCTGATGTGACATTAGATAAGCCGAAAACCGCCCTTTTTCTTCCCAAGGCGCTCCTGGCAATGATTCACTGCTCTTTTTCAGCTTCCTACTTAGTTGCTCACTTAATGAGAGGAGGAGGAAGAGTACGTCCCCTCCTTCAGAATGGACATGGTGTAAAATTCCTTTTTCCGCACCTTCTGGGCTGGTTACAAAAGGTCACATCCAGCCGTGCCTGTGAGGTCCTTGTGGGACTGACTCCCTGCGCCGGGCACTACGGCTGCACCGCGGCTGCGGCAGCAGTGAGGTCCTCACAGGCGCTGCCGGTGACTGCGCGGGGCTGTGGGACGGTCCTGGGGCTGGAAAAGCCACTGCCAACGGGTGCTGCCGCCCTGGAGGCAGAAGATGCTGCCTGGCTGTTCCCTCTGCCGGGGACAGGGCAATTTGTAGCTCGTGGTGACGTAACCTCCTGCCGGCAGCTTTTTAATTGCCCTCTGAAACTAGCTTCCTTATCTTTATTCAGCACTCCATGGCGTTTGATGGTGTGATCATGGGATTGGGACACCAAAGCCAGCCCAGAGATGCTCTGGCGTGGCAGCCCTCGGGTGCTGGGTAGAGATGGAGGAGCCCTAATTGGGCTGCTCAGAGGGAGAGAACGTGGCAGCCTCCAGCCACCACTTTCCCCTGTACGGGAGCAGTCACACCTCTTCCCGGTGCTCCAGACCCGGGGGAGAGCTGTGGGCGCTGTGGGGCACAGCGAAGGGCAGAGGCGGCCCATGTCCCCCGGGGGGTACGGCTGCAATGCACCCGGGGGGCTGCCCGTTCC